CGGTATGCTTTTTATTGTGACATAAAATAGAAAATCATTGAAGCACGGTAGATAGTTTCTTTAACAAAATATCAGAAAATTGTGTAGCTTCGCAAACATTGTGGCCGTGCTGAGTGTTGACGACCGCTCTTGTGGGCGAAACTTGAGTACATTAAATTAAACAAGAAATGTGCATGGCATTATAATGTACATTCAATTTTTACTTGGTTTAGAAGCTCTTCTTTGTCTCCTACATTAGTGTCACTAGAAGCTCTATTGCCTTTTTCTATTTTGGTTTTCTAGTTCGAACACATATACACTAGGTGCACATTAGATTCAGAAGCATGTAAAAATTAAGTAAGAATTGCGTAAGCAGAGGTGGGTTTGGGTGTTTTATATTTTTTTGACAAGGTATGGCATTTTTTTTTTAAAGTTTTGCCATGTCTTCAAGCTTGAGTTAATAGAGATCAGTTGTGTGTGTCTGTGTGCATGTACCCATGCTCACTTGTGTCTAAACTCCCAATTGTATGGCTAGACTGACTTTGTTTGCTTAGAGGCTTTAGGTTTGCAGGGTCCCTTTGAGCGATGATTGATGTATGTCTTTAAGGTATATTTTTCTGTGTATTGGCTTCAAGCGTGGTATTCTGTGTATGGATTTTTTTCTGATTTTCTTCGTGATTAAACTTTTGTTGAAAGTATAGGTCAGAAAACTCACTAATGAGTTGACTCAGTCATATTCACTCAGACTCAGACAGACCCGTGAGTCTGCATCTGAATGAGTAATATTTTGGGGAGTTTGAGTCCAAGTGAGTTCAGTTTGAGACATATTTAGTGAGTTTGAGTTTGAATGAGTCCAGTTCAGCAAAATAATGGTGATTCTGAGCCTGAGTGAGCCTTAAGCACCAAATATGTTTCATAAGTGAGTTCCATTTTTTATTGCTGACCTATGGTCCTGTCTACTCATATTCAGTATTACTGTCAGCCTTTTATCGGCTTGTGGTTGTACTCAAATGTTTTCACATATACTACCTCAATGTATACATGTTCATGCACCACACCACTATTTATTGGTTATAGACGTGAACTGTGATGGGTGACATGAACACTCTCTGCACTCTTTCTTGAAAAGTTCTAAAGATATCTCGTGTGAGTCAGGTATTTCATAAAAATGTCCTCTGTCACGATTTAATGCTGGGAGCGCTTGCTAAGGATGGATAGAGAGAGACTGAGATGGGTGAGGCAAGACAAACACTTGATACTCTGTATGGGCAAAAGAAATACACAAAACTCGTGTTTAAGCACTCAAAATTAACTCAATAACACTATATACACACAAGTGTACTATAGACTGAAACCAGAACTAACTACAATAAGCGTGAGAGCCAACTATAACCCTAGCCAGCATCTGTTTGAAATGGCGTTTCGGTAACGAAACGTTCTTACAGTTGTGGGGTCTTGATGTGGTGAGCGCCACGTTCTTGGACTAAACGGACACAGCAGACGCGATCGGATTGAACCAAACAAGAACGCATTTATTCAACTACTTTTTAAAACGATAATGTCATCAGCCGAATAATTAGTAGTGCACACGTATCCCGAAGGAGTATGGCCACTAGCGTGGGTCCGGTCTTAGTGAGCCGCTGGGCATGCATTAACCGTCGCCATGGCGAGAACACAGTACTGCTCAAGGTTGCAACACTTTATTGTCTGTGGCAACACCAAAACGCAGTACAGATCCCGTTGCAAAGGCGCGGGGGGAAAGCAAATGGGCTTATCCACACCACGGCTGAGAAGTAATCCACAGGGGTGCCGCGAGCACGTCTCCATGGGCAAAGGTGATTCCCGAGGGCACGGGGGCAAAGGGTCCGGTTGCTCGAGCGAGAGCAAAGGCGCTCGCGTTGGCTTCGGAGAGATGTGGGTTGACATAGCCTGGCCACGCACTAAGACACCACACCGCTCTTCGGCCCAGCGTTCAGAAAGGGCACAAAAGGTAAGCATTCCGCCGCTGGTTCAAGGCACCGTTAGTGAAGTCTGACGAGTCCCAAGCAATAGGAGTCGACGGACGAAAAAGAGATGTGCGCTCACCCTCAGTCGTTTCGGAGATATTTCTCGCAGTTCGGAGATATTTTTCGCAGCTCAAAACGTCTCGAGAGACTTTGCACGCGGCGCCACAGTCGACATCCGCTACTGGGTGATAAGGGTTAAACGTCACTTCCCGCTCTCCCAGTGTGGCAGACCACGGAGGAGAGGAGTCATGTCGGGACATGAGAACGCAGAAAGAGCTGGCAAAGCCCGCGCAAAGGCAGCGGGCTAGCCTCAGTTCTCACAAATTATAACATCAATTGTGATCAACATGCTAAAATAACCTTGCACAATATTACCATACACTCAACAACATAACATACACAAGGCGGCTGACGCTTGACTCCACATGAGGACCCCCGGCAGACGGCCTGCGGTGCCATGCACCGGGGACACACTGCGAGAGATAATCGTTCGCGCCAATTGCCACCAGCCGAAGGGACTCACTCAATTCTCTCTTGCCGCCGCCAAAGCTTGCCACCAGGGGTCACCACCGGCACTACCAATCTAACCATGATGATGATAGCGGTGATCAATGCTCGCGAACACAACACCACCTACCGTTAAATCCTTTTGGAAGTTCCTAAAGTTGTCGTCTGTTTCCGCCGAACGAGCCGCTTGTCCTCATTGCCGCTGTCCCAGTCTTCGTCGTTTTTGGCTCAGCTTGGTTAAACCCAACTCGTCAATGGCCTCATGACAGTGGTGTGGGCCGCAACTGTTCTGGCATGAAGTGGAAGACATGTATGCCCAACAGGAACTGCTGTGAAAGGGTGCGGCAAGTTCAGGCAACCTCACTCAGGTCTTCCGATCTCGATGGGCACTTTCTGGGTTTCTTCCTCGGGACAGCCTTCAGAACCAGGCGGCTACTGCTTCCATCGCTGTAGCGATGCTAATTTTTCTGAGCAGCGCAGTTCGAAGCCCCACAGCACATTGGCAGCTCATCCTCTGGGATTGTCCATCACGGCTCGGGTCGCGTGCCACGAGCCTTCGTGTTCAATCTCGTACGTGAACGTGGCGCGAATGCGCGCCATCGGGATCTCGCGCACCGACGCCGCATTCCAGCGCTCGGCATGTGCCTCATGTGCTCTTACTCATCATATCCTTACTGGACGACCATATTACATATAACTCGTACTTGAGGTATAAGATCAAAATGCATATCGAAGAGCACCGATTATATGAGACATTGGCATTAAAGAGCAGTGACACCAAAACAGAAAAAAAGGTAGAAAAAGGTAAAAAAGGAAAAGGTAGAAAAAGCCATGACTCTGAGTGAGTATGACTAAGTAATATGGTTGATATGTGGGGTTTAACGTCCCAAAACCACTATATGATTATGAGAGACGCCGTAGTGGAGGGCTCCGGAAATTTAGACCACCTGGGGTTCTTTAACGTGCACCCAAATCTGAGCACACGGGCCTACGACATTTCCGCCTCCATCGGAAATGCAGCCGCCACAGCCGGGATTCGAACCCGCGCCCTGCGGGTCAGCAGCCGAGTACCTTAGCCACTAGACCACCGTGGCGGGGCTGACTAAGTAATATGTTGGTGAGATTGAGTTTGAGCGAGTCCGTTTGAGCAAAAGTTTAGTGAGTCTGAGTTTGAGCAAGTCCGGTTGAGGAAAATTTTTATGAGTCTGAGTTTGAGTGAGCCCTCAGAGCAGTATATATATTTTTAGTGAGTTTGAGTGAGCCCCAACTTTTTTGCCAACCTACAGTTGAAAGTGAATGCTTGTGTTGTGCTCTGGCTTGCGTCTTTGTCTTGAATGCACACTCTCAGGTACCGATGGGGTTGTAAGTTTAATTACAGCCTGTAGCAGTGTCAATCTACTTCAGTGAAATCCAAAAATGGTCTTTTGTAATATTTTAAGCCTATGTTAAGGAGTGCAATGTGATCAGCAATAGCTACTTGAAATGTAATTTTTTAAGGTTCCATTCATTACACACAAACTATCATATCAAACATTTGTTCGCTCACAACTAGAATATGCATCATCCATTTGGTCACCTCATCAAGTCTGTCTCATCGACTTGCTAGAAACTGTACAGAACCGTGCTGCACGTTTAATTGCGCGTAACTACAATTGCTATTCTAGTGTAACTGACATGAAGGCTTCATTATCTTTATCATCTTTGGCATTGCGCACGAAGATAACCACTCTGTGCATATTCCATAAAGTAATTTACAGCACACACGTGAATACATTGCCACTATCAAGGCCCCGTTGTATATCTCACAAGCTTCATAATCAGCATAGTTTTGTTGGTCTTTTCGGCTGCGCTCAAGCCTTCAAAGCATCCGTGCTGGTGCTCAATGGAATGACCTCCCTGATGAGGTAGGGTGCATTTGTGATCACGTGGCATTTAGAAATAAAATGCTAAATATTTACAACTGCATTCTTTAAACATATCTTTTTGATTGGTGTTTATTTATTGTAAGCTTACATGTCACCCATTCAATTATGTATAACACATAAGTTTCCTATTATTAGTGCATGTTATCTCCCTTATTTAGCAATTGTATACTTGGCTGCTTTTGAGTTACTTTTGTTTGTTTCGTGTTTTTTCATAAAAAATATATATATATATATATATATATATATATATATATATATATATATATATATATATATAGTTGTATAGTATATAAACACTACCTCACTTCCTGTGAGATAGTATTTGTAAATAAATAAAATTAAATAATAACCCTCCTCTCTGGTACCTGTGCTGCTTCAGGAATTTCAGACATTGAATTTCATTCAAAGTGGTCCGTTATTTCCTGAAATAAGAAAAATTTGTGTTTACTCATATAGTTGCCGAGAGATGACATTATTGTAGTAATGAATTTTACCAGAAAAATATTGTTCCAAAAAACAGTTGAAATATTCAACTAACATTGTTATAGTATCTAAAGAGCGGCAATCAATATTGAAATTACAGAGGGAAATCCTGCTGCAAAGAAAACCTAGACTACCTTGAGCGTATCCCTCAAACCAGTAAGAAGCATGGGTCATTGACACTAGATCGTTATGTTGAGATCAAGGACTATCTGACCAGTGCATTTGACTGTGTTCATCATCCTTTGGGCTATCTTTTAGATGGCTTGGTAGGTGTGTTCAGGTAAGCAGCATTCTGATATCTTGTTTGTCTTTTTTGTTGTTGTTAGCCACTGGGCTTTTATCTCTTTCTTGTATAATTTAGTGATTATTACACTTTTTATTTTCATGCTTATACTTGTTTCCTGGTAATGCAAGTTTCTGTTGTGATTCTTCTTGGTAGGCTGACGTACTGTGGCATTGGCGTCCATCCCCGACTTCTAGTGCATGCTGTGGAAGAAGTCAGATCATTCTGCCAGAGGCTGTATGAGTTGGTCAGGTAACTAAAGTCAATCTAAAGCAGCCGTATTACTTAAAATAGATCATTTTTCTCCGGTGCAGGTTATAAACTCACTTAATTTTATGGTGGTTTCTGTTTAAATTGCAGAATTCTTTTTCCTGACTTGCCTCAAGCAGATAAGCCTCTGGTTCTGACCACTTTAGGGAATTTGGACTGTCCAGATGACTTCCTTGATGGTGCTGGGTATGTTTATTGTTACATCACATGTAACCTACAGAGCTTACCTACGGAGCAAAAGCTTGGAGTCTTAAAAAGAGTCTTAAAGGAGTCTTAAAAAGCTTAAACCGAGGACAGTGCAGCGAGTAATAGAAAATAACATGGTAGTTGTAACCTTAAGGGACAGGAAAAGAGCAGGGTGGATCAGGCGACAAACTGGTCATAAGGACAACATAGTCAAAATCAAGAAGAATAAACTGACATGTGCAGGGCATGTAGCATGTAGGCAAGATAACCGCGCTAGTAATGAAGAGTAAGTGGCTGGACTCCAAGAGAAGGAAACATGCGAAGGGTAGAGGGGATGTTAGGTGGACAGATGAGATTATGAAGTTTTGGGTACAACATTGCAGCAGCAAGTGCAAGACCGGGTTGATTGGTGGAACACAGGCGAGGCCTTTGCTCTGCAGTGGGTATAGTCAGGTTGTTTATGATGATGATGACATCACACATGCATAATATTCTCTGATGTTTTATCTACAGTATTGTGCCTTGCACGAAAGAAGTGGCGTTGATTGAGGGGCCTGTTTTTGTTACATACAACCCTCTAAGGTGTTAGTTACAACTCTAGATACAACCCTATAAAGTGTTAGTCAGTGGTAGAGCATTTGACTGCAATATATATGAAGTGTTGATACAACCCTATGAACTCAAGGAAAACATAGGGTAGTTTTTAATATATGTTTAGTAATTATGAGACCCCTGTCATGTATAAAATGATCAAGAACCTACACCCTGAAACTGTGAATGCATTTCTATCTCTTTACAACACCATAGCACTGACAAGCTGCTCGTGTAAACCCTATGAAAAAAAGTCACCACCTAAGCACTCCGTGTTAACCAGTGAGGCTGAAATGTGGGGCCACAGGCGGTTGCAGAAGCCGCAGCCTAAGCCAAAGTGTTTCTCGAGAAGCTCTGCCGAAACTGGGCGTCAGCTTTGGCGAATGCGTTCTCGCCATTGTCACGTTGACGCTGTTCAGCTAGCAACGCTGCTTCCATGGCTCGTCGTTGTCACTTGCATTTGGCTCGGAAGGCTGCCAGACACTGAGTGTGCAGTCGCTGCTTGCGCTTTGCCACTCGAACCTGTTCTTGTGCCCGGACTATTGCAGTGGCCTGGTGAACATGAATTGTCTCGCAGATCAGCTGTTGGTGCTGTTCTTGTAAAGTTGTCTGCTGTTCAGGCGTATGTTCGATTCGTGCCCTCCCTATGTGAAAGTGGCAAGTTGAAACTATTGCAACCAGGCTCGGCGGCACTGCTGCAAAGAGGTGAAGGACGTCATTGACAATATTGAAGGACGTTATTGACGATACAAAGAATGGCGTCACTAATGCGCCCTCCCAATGACGCGTGCGCTTGGTTGCGACAACTATAATGATGTAACTGACGACACAGCCAATGGAAGTCGTTAATGTTTCTCGTGGCAAATTCTTTTTTGTTTGGCGTAGCCATATACAGCTCTTACTATAGAAATGATAAACCGACTACTGATTCATTTTAATGAAAGCAACAATATACTATAACTGCTTCAATGTGGCTTCAGGGAAGGTTGGTCAACCCTAGACCACCTTGTTCACATTGAGTGAATAATTAGAGATGCCTTTATCTATAAACAGTTTTTTGCTTTCGATTTTTCTCGACGTGAGTAAGCTCATGACACGATATGGTGATTTAGAATTCGTATGACCTATTTGTGCTGGGTGTACATGGCAGCATGTTCAGTACAATAGTAAGTTACACGTCTAATAGCACTTTTCATGTTAGTGGGTAATGTCCTGTCGAATTCATTCATTCAAGAAACTGGTGTTTCGTGAGTAGGCGTGCTTAGTTGCATGCTCTTGATGGGGAAAATGAACTCGCTTTATACGACAATTCCCCCTCACAATGTTTTACTGTATATTGATGATGTCCAAATAGACTTTGAATCATGTAATCTCTCAACCTGCGAGCGACAAATTCAGCTGCAGCTGAACAATGTATAAAAAGGGGTTAATGTAAACAGTTTTCTGAAAAAACACTAAAGTGAAACAATGACTTGGTTTAGATTGATAAACACGACCCTGAAAACTCTAATATCACAAGTTTCACTATCATAAGTTCACTATTAGCGGGGAAAATCATGGTTCAAGTTTAATTTTTTAAATTTGTGCTGAAATCTTTGCATGTGACGTCATTAATTTCTATTTTTCTTATTTTTGCGACATGGGCTTAGTGAAATTTTTTTAAACTTCTTCTGCTAGCTTTATGACACCCACAGATGACAAACGCACTTCATTTTTACCGATTAGAAACTACATTGGGCCCAGTAGATGCCGTCGAAATTTGTGACATCACAATGTTTGGTACGAGAATCTGAAGGTAGCATCTCCACCTGCATTTTCTTTTCGCACTTTTTCTCGCTTACCAAGCATCGTCTTGCGATAAGAGTGGTGTTTTTGGGACTATGAAGTTGCACTTTACTAACACATGTAAAGTCATTTTCCTCTTTAGTGTACCTTCAAGAGAAAGCCTCTTAAAAGCTCATGTGTTGTTCTTAAAGGGACACTAAAGGCAACTATTAAGTCGACGTTGATTGTTGAAATGGCAGTCCAGAAAGCTTGTAGTGTTGCTTTTGTGCCAATGAAGCACTTATTTTGAAATGAAATCATGTTTTAGTCATCCGAATCTGGTTAGTACACTTCAAATTACCCGCCCAAATGGAATGTCTCGCCTCACTGTTTCCGTGCACAACGTTGCCTGGCTTAACTTTGCGGCCGCTGACACTAGTAGCAGCAGAACGAAAGCAGCGGGAGCCACAGCAGCAACAACGGCAATTCAACAATTTCCTGCCATTCGCTCAGAGATGGCAGACGTTATTGGTTCAATTGGGCCCCGCTAGATGGCACAACCTGTCCAGTTTAATTATGCAGAAATTTAAGTTTTGAACCACTCACGTCATTCCTCATAGTAATATCCGGTGGTTCTTTTTTCGTATTATCAAACAGAAATGAACAAGCACCATTTTATTACGTCTCTTGGTGCACAGAAGATTCTTTATTTAGTGTAGCTCATATGTTTTACTCACATCTAATGTACAGAATTTTAAGGCCTTTATACAGTGAATTACCATAAACGTTGCTCACATCTGTTGTCTCATGAACTGGCACTCTTTAGCCATCAAATGGCCCTTGCACTATTAAATACCATACATCATTAGTAATTATGAGAGAAATGAAAATGCCTTCATTGGCTTTATTATTTGTAAACTTCATTGATTGATTTGTGGAGTTTAACGTCCCAAAACCACCATATGATTATAAGAGACACCGTAGTGGAGGGCTCCGGAAATTTCGACCATCTGGGCTTCTTTAACGTGCACCCAAATCTGAGCACACGGGCCTACAACATTTTCGCCTCCATCGGAAATGCAGCCGCCGCGGCCAGGATTCGAACCCGCGACCTGCGGGTCAGCAGCCAAGTACCTTAGCCACTAGACCACCACGACGGGGCATTTGTTAACTTCATGTGGTTTGGTTTTGCAAAAACAGGTCCCTCTATCGACCCCCCTTCTTTCACTCATTTGATACCTTTCTGTTGCATGCAAGGGTTTGTTAGCCAGCAATCTACTCAAATTTCAGGTACACTATGTGATGCCATTGTGCAAAGTCACTGTATTGGGCATGAGTTGTGCTAGCTAACTCTCTCAGGGTTGCACATACAATAAACAGCCAAGAAAGGACTCTCTCAGGGTTGCACATACAATAAACAGCCAAGAAAGGAGACTGGGGGACAACTGCTACCAAAGCACAAATGGTTATAGTGTGCACGCATTCCTACTTGTGGTGGGTTTAGTCCCCACCGGCAGCACGTTCTTTTTACTTCAGCTTTTATTTCCCTTCATTTCACAATTACTACTTTTCAGTCCTGATAGTGTGTTAAGTTCTTTAAGAGGTGATATTCCTCCAGTGCCTTTTTCTTATCTGTTTTCACTGCTGCTACAAAGTGAACACACCCGAAGGGATCCTTGGGTTAGTGGTGGAATTCATTGTGCAAGAACAACAGCACTAAAAAAAGACTAGCACTGTGATGGTATGTCACGTTCACTCAGCAAGGAACTGAATTGACTGTCAAGCATAGTCGTCAACAGGATTTTGTCTTGGGGGCTGCAAGCGTGGGTTTCCACAGCCACTGGATGAAAGAGCACATGGTATGTCCTGCTGCGTCAGCCGGCTTTCTATGGGAGAGCACGTGTAAGCTGTAGGATCAGTTGCGGCCGCTGCAGCGCAACGGGGCGGGGACAGGAGGGACGGGAAAACGACTCGTACCGGCTCCCTCAGGGCAGCAGCCGCAGCAAATCAGCTGGTGTTTGTCACAACTGTGACCATCTCAGTTGTTCTAATCAGTGTTTTTTTAATCTCATTTATCACAGCGATGACATATCGCGTATTTAGTAGACTACAAGGCACCATCTAGTTAAAAAGTCAATTGATTTTTCCTGTACAAGCCGAACACCTGACGTTTTTTTTTTTCAGAACCAGCTTCTTGTTTTGAGGCTGAAAGAGAAATCGACAATTCATGTAACTGAATGATATGGCACTGAATGCATGCAAAGTCGTTGTTCTATTTATGAAGATGTCTTAAACTAGTGTATTTTGATTTTTGTGATGTTTATTCAGCCTTTTCGCATTTTCTTAGCTAGAATGCTTGAGAATTAATTTTTTAGACACTTGACAATAGACGTTCATAGTTTTTATATGCTGAAAGCGTATGAAAGAAACATAATCTGAATATTTTTCATGGTATCTGGTACATGGTAGTGTGCCGAAAAGTAATTAAGCTTCAAACACTGGATAAAAGTGGATTCTAGAAACATGGTGATGCATGCCTCATAACTTTATTTGAAGAGGCTGCGAAAGTATCAGAAGTGGCAATTAAATTCTTTTTACACACACACACACGCACACACACACACACACACACTCTCTCTCTCTCT